TATTAAAAGTTTTGTATTCATAAGTAAAAAACATTTGATAAATGACTCTGGAAGACCATTTTATGTATGGATGAGCTACATGATGCTTAATACTTATTCCAATGATCAACCGGGTTGGTTTAAGTGGTAAGCATCTTAATATCGCTTAAGTAGGTCTTGAGTTTGAGTCTTTGTGTATGTAGAAAATTTCCGCTGGGAGATTCACTCATCAAAGCCAGGTATGTGACCCGGGTTGGTCCAGATTAATCAAGGCGAAGCCTTGAGAATCGGAAGAGCAACCAAAAAAAACTTATTCCAATGGACATATAAAAAACATTAAAAGCTTAGGATATAAATTCACGAGCATTATCAAGATGAATTGTATTTATAGAGGAATATGAAAAAATGTGCTTGTAATTTGATAAAATGAGAAAGTAACCTTGTAAATGCAAGTTGTGAGTTGATAACAAGAATAAATATGATCATATAAACGATGCACCGATTTCAACCATAATATATCTAAATGATTCATAAGAATGATGTATGACCCAACAAATACTATCTTATATTTATTATAGAAAATTAATAGATTTGTGATCTACCTTTGTCGATGATGACCGGATGATTAACTTTTTCTTGAGAACAAGAAATATCCACATAAATTATAAATTTAGAGAATCTATTTGATCCTTCTACAAATATCCACATAAATTATCAGTAATTTTTAACATAATAATTCAACAGAAATGACTTGAATGATCATACTAAATAATAAAGTTATAAGTAAACTTCTAAATTAACAACCAAAGTAACTACCTTTCCAATTTTTCCTTTACGTCAATGGGGGTTTGAATTAAGGTCATTGCACGTGACTTGCACATGGATTGAAAGACGCATTATGACATTTTGCCAAAAAAGACTTCTCATCGAAATCAACCTTGTCTGTTTCCCCAGACATCGATTGCTCGTGCCTTAAAGCCTAATTAACAAACCCCCAAATTATACGTAAGTTGTTTTTACAACATCAAAAGATATGTCCAAATTCTCTGTTGAATCAATGTGTCTTCTCTTTATCTCGTAACATCTCACTAGTCATTATCACTATCACTTCCCTCGTGTCTTAATTACTTGCACCACCCAACTTTATATTCATATATATAAATATATAGTATCTAGAACTCACTTAGTGGTCTCAGTACTAAAAAAATATTATTTTTTCTAGAGGTCTTACGTTTGAGCAATTGTATCTATTAGAGGGGTATCCAATATCAATTCGTTAAGAATATTCTAAACAAATATTAATTTGTAACTATCTCATTCTATTAAAAATATATATATATATATATATATATATATATATAGCATCTAAGATAACCAAACCAAACCAAATGTTATGCAAAATTCTATGAATTGGATAGTGAAATGTTATGTTCGTAATGACACATGTTGGTGGTCTCTACTTGGACCATATACTACATACGCATGAAAATCTTTGATTGATTCGTTGTTATCCCCCGGAAAGAGCTAGGAGTGGTTGTTAAATGAGGTACGGCTGCATCCAAGCATGATTTGGGATAGGGGTGAACAAAATTCGAGTCGACTGAAAAAAATCAAAATTTTCTAGTTGCCTAAAAAAATTTTAAATTCAAGTCCAGTTATAAAATAAAACTTGAATAATTCAAAATTTTTAATAATTAATATATTAATTTTCAAGTTCGAATCGATTACCTTATTGTATTTGAAAAAATATGAAAAAATATATATGTATATCATATATGATTATAAAAAATCGCTTACATTGGAATCAAATAGTACTATAACATTATAAATATTTAGAATTGAATTTAAATAGAAACTCGAACAACTCGACTCGACTTGAATTTAATGAACTCCACTCTGATTCGAAAAAATATAAAATAAAATTTGAGTTATAAAATATGACTCGTCAACTCGACTAATACAAAACATTTGGTTTCGACTCAAATCGACCCAATCGAATACTCACCCCTAATTTGAGGGATGTCCCCATTATCGTACACAATTTTTTTACATAAATAGAAACAACTAATTTTATTAAGAAAGAAAAAATATATAAAATTACAATGAGAGTTCACAACTAAAACTCTAAACTAAATACATAATCAGGATATTTTCTTATAATCATTCACACGAAAAACTAATCACTTAAAATCTTATAAGGATCATACAAAAAAATGTAAAAAAAATTATAAAAAAAATCCAACAATAAATTATAAGAGAATATCCTTGTTTCTAAGGTGCAACTTAAAATATTATGTTCACCAGGATAATCACGTAGATAGATTAACTTTTCCGGTTAAGATGTAAAATGTTATTACTGTTAAGTTTTTTTTTAACTAAAAAACAAATAATATTTAGGTTGTACCCTGTTTTCTTATAAAATACATAACTTTTTAGATTTAAAGGGTAAACTATATAAATGGCTCTCCGATTATAGGGTGTTATTTTGTTGAGTCTTTGATTATTAAAAGTTAGAAAATGATCATTTGACTATATGAGATTGCTTTACTGAGTCTCTCGATTATTAAAATTTACAAAATAACCACTCGACTATTCATATATTATTGCAAACTCGTCCTTTTTGGTTAAAAAATTAACGTCTATCTGAGCTAGACGTAAACATGTTAACTAAGATATATAAAATTTGATCCTATAACCTTTTGATCAGCTGTATTTTGTAGATCTATTCTCTATATACATTATGTTGTCGAATCAATACTTAAAATATTATATCATTGAATTGGTGCTTGAAAGCAATGGTGACCCCAATAAAATCATTAAAATATAATTTTATCTTATTTTAATTAACATATTAACATCCAGCTCAAACAATCATCAAATTTTTAATGAAAAATGACGAGTTTAAAAATATATGAATAGTTAGGTGATCATTTGTAACTTTTAATAGTCGAGGGACTCAACAAAATATTATTCTATAGTTAAATTATCATTTTATAACTTTTAATAATCAATTTTAATAATCGATTTTAATAATCGATGTACTCAAAGCAATATTTTACTATCGTAAACCATTTGAATATTTACCCATATCAATGTTAAAACTTTTTCAATTAAGGAACACAATGTTTTGTAACGTGTTTTCTTACCAAATGTATAACTTTTTAAGTCTGCAAATTAATTACCTGTTGAAACGGTCAGATTAGGGCTGTAAATGAAACGAGATAGATTGTGAGCTATTAGAGATCGACTCGGTCAAGGCTCGATAAATACTCGGATCGAATAGACTCGACTCGAGCTCGACTCGAATTCTTAACGAGCCGAAACGAGCTACTTGATACTCGACTCGAAAAGCTCGTGAGCAGCTCGAAAATATAATATATTAAGATTTTATTTTTTAAAAAAAATAAATTATTAATAATATTAACATTTGTGTTGATTTTTTTTAAAAATACAGTAAGACTTTCATGTATTTAATGTTCAGGTTCGAGTTTGAGTTTGAGGCTTAAATCTAGTTAAGTTTAAGATTTTTTTTTATTTCAAGCCTTTTCGAGCTGCTCACGAGCTTCAATTCAGGATTTCGAGTTCGAATCGAACTTAAAAATTTTAAGCTCGCGAGTTTTCGAGTTGACTCGAACTATATTTCAAAGTTTTCGAGTCGAGTCGAGCTCAACGATACTCAAACTCGACTCGGCTCGTTTACACCCAAGCCCAGACTGCAAATTAATCTTAAATTAATAATTACTGCTCAATATAACCTCCATTTTTTACTGTTTACTGATCGGGTGAAGTAACTTCTTTTTAACTTTAGCTTCAGCACACTAAATTTTTTCTCTTCTTTGATCTTTCAGATCTTCTTGGATTCCGTTTCGGCGTACCACGGAAATCTCTCGTTCAACGCTATGTCCGAAACGACTCAGGGATCCGAACTTCAGAATGGTTTCCAACCACTACCAGAACCGGAGTCGGATTTGAAAGTGGAATTGAAACCGGTTGAGGTATTGAAATCGGAACCGGTGGTAATTGATGCCCAGCCGGAGCCGGACTCAGAGAGCTCGATCCAATCATCCACCGACCAAGTCGCTCGTCCGGGGCTGCGTAAAGATGAAGAGAACCGGATTTTCATAATGAGAGAATTGCTAAGTTAATTGAAAAACGATGAAGATGATACAAGTTCTCCTTACAGGTATTTCTTTTCCTCATCCATTTCGAGTCTCAGTTGATAAAAAAATACTCTCTTCAATTCGTTATTGGATTTAACGTGATTTCAATGTAGAGACCTCTAGATCTTTGGCATCCTCTGTTGTTTCGTCTCAATTAAATGTGGAGCATTGTTCAAGTTTCAACTGAGCCTAAAATTAGGCTGTTTCATACAAACTACTAGATGCATTAAGGCGTACTCGTTCTGTCAGACTAAGAGTTCATTTTCTTTCATTGCACGGATGAGCAACTGTTCTCTGATCACAGTATTTATTACTCTTGAATCTAGTTGTTAGAAACTAATCATATATGTTTTGATGTATTTGAGCCTTTCAGTTTCTTCTGAACTTCAAGTTCCGAATTAACTGTATCTTACTCTTTGTATAACTTTGATTAAGGAGTCCTTGATTTGTGGATCTTGCACTCTGTAGAATTCAGTTTATATTCTTTTTCATGCCGCCATTCATGCTGTAAAGGTTTCTTGGTCTTGTTGTAGTAAATATGTATCATCTTGTTTCTTCTTGTATTTATAACGTTTCTTCTTCTTGTCAATGGTATCATTTTCTATCCCATGATGAATCTATGCTTCAGTCAAGAAAGCAGACAACGACAATCCTACCAAACAGTGCTGTAATGGAGTTGATCAATAGTGTTACTGGTACTGATGAGGAAGGCAAGTCTCGCCAACGGATTCTTGTATATGCTGCTAGGAGATACCATCATCTTGTTTTATACACGTTTCACACTTATTATTCATATTGAACTTGATATGTTTCTGCCTTAGAGTCTGATATTCCATCGTACTAATTGAAGTCAAATTTTGTAGGTATGCTACTGCACTAGAGAGAAACCCAGAAGATTATGATGCTCTTTACAACTGGGCATTGGTTCTTCAGGTTTGAGATGCTGGTTCATTTTGATATTGTTATCTTAACATCATTCAGAATGCTATATCATGTCCTATTCTTATACTGCTAGAACTGCCTGCTTAACCTTTTGAATTTAAACATGTTGTAATCGTTGCAAAATATTACAGATTTCTCATTATGTCCATGTGGTTCTTATTTGACTTGCAGGAAAGTGCAGATTAGTCCAGATTCTACTACACCTTCTAAAGATGCCTTGCTAGAGGAGGCTTGTAAAAAGTATGATGAGGCTACTCATCTCTGCCCAACACGTCATGATGTATGAATTCTTGTTCAACAGATTGAGAATTTGTGATTTTTTAAGTTCGGTTTCAATTAGAAAGGGCATGATGACTTCTCAGAATGCATAAGCCAGACAAGAAACTGGATAGACAAGAAAAATAAGTGTAGAGATGCATAATGCATATATATTCCCACATATGAATGAGTATGTATAGTATATACTTTTTGCTGATATTCATTTCCTTGACTTTGTTGCAATGTTGTTGCTTGACAGGCCTTCTACAACTGGGCAATAGCAATATCTGATCGAGCAAAAATGTGTGGCCGGACCAAAGAGGGTGAAGAACTCTGGGAGCAGGTTCTTACTATATAATTTTGGTATTTTAGCTGCGATAGATTTTGTATGAATAATAGTAGCCCTTTGAAGGCAAATCTTAGTATCTTGTTATGGAAAACCTTTTCAGTGCGTGGATAAGATCTTATTCTGTTTATGCTTCGTGTTAGCTTCATGCTGTTATACAATATATTTTAATAAGGACAAAGAACTGTGGAAGTGGTTTTTTGCCGTGGAATCCATTGGTATGTAGTCATTCTAGAATTTATTTTTGAAACACATTGTCCTTGTGGTAGTGCCGTGTGGAAACCCTTGACCTTCTCTAAGAAATGCCTTTTTATAGTAATAAAAACCTTGTCCTTTGGTTTCATAGAGCATAAACTTACCGTTATGGTTTTTCAGGCAACAAAAAACTATGAAAAAGCTGTCCAACTCAACTGGAATAGCCCCCAGGTATATTTGAACTTTTTCTTTTAATCTTGTAATTTTGCTAACTAGAATGTTTCTTTTAGTCTTGTAATTTTGCTAACTAGAATTACTCCACCTTTCACTTTATTCTACCTCATAGTGATTTTAAGGATTCTTATATCTCTTTCAGGCACTAAACAATTGGGGACTTGCTCTTCAGGTGAACTATGTTTTAGCGATGTTAATATTATAATCAGCTTCATTTATCTCCATATCTTCCAAATTTCTGAGTCTATTTCTATGGAGTCCTAGAATACTATGCTTACTTTCATGCCTTCATTTTAGGAACTCAGTGCAATTGTTCCAGCTCGAGAGAAGCAAAAAATTGTGAGTACTGCAATTAGTAAGGTACAAAAGTCATTTGGAAATATCAGGGTGCTCAGATGACTATAGTAACTAGCAGCAAAGTAATTTGACATTCGAGGAGTCCTAAAAGAATAAGCTCTCACTGCATTTGTAGTTTTACAATACCCTTTATTTCTAATGCAGTTCCGTGCAGCAATACAGTTGCAGTTTGATTTCCATCGTGCAATATACAACCTTGGAACTGTTTTGGTGAGTTTGTTGGTTATTACTAGTTCTTAAACTGGATGGCATGATCCTATTCTCACCTGTGATAACATTTCTTTGTGCTATTAATGAGATTAGATATTGACCTCCTTACGTGAGCATTTCATGAGTGGAGTATAGATTTGTGACTTAAAATATCATATTTTTAAATACAGTATGGACTAGCTGAGGATACCTTAAGAACAGGCTCCCCAAATATGAATGAAGTGATGTAAGGCGAATCTACACGCTTTGATGGAAGAGAGTAGATAGCCTTATTGTGTCTCGATCTAGGATTGACAAGTACTGATATCCTTGAATTTATAAGTTTGGGCTGCAAAATAAGATAAGAAAAGAATGATTAATAATGGAATTAATAAAGGGGATAATAATATAAGTAATGAAAATAAATAATAAGAATGAAATGAAATGAAATAAAGAAAGGATAGAGATGGCTTCGGAATTGATGGAAGAGATGGATGATGGTGATGATGAAATGGCAATGGTGGTGATGTTGTATCTCAAACACGCCAAAGAGGAAACTATGCTATGAAGCACAATCCCGATCTTCACAAACTTGCTTGAGGGGTGATAATAGTGTCTTCAACCCATTAGATATCAATCTAGGAATTTTGGAATCAAAATGGAAGGAATGACGCCACAAGTATAGGAACTATACTTGTTTAATCGATAAAGTTCACAAAGAACTTTGAAGAGAAATAACTCACAAGAGTATATTTTATATAAGAGATGAGATGATTACAAATGAAGGCAAGCCACTCTATTTATAGGAAATGAGATGGCTTGGCCGAATAGTTATATGATGTTTCGGCTAGATACATGTCTTTAGGAAAATACATAATGCTTGAGATGAATGAATAAGTCCTTTGGGCTTGTGATGGTTCGGCTAACTCTTCATGAAAGGCTTTAATGATTCGGTCAAAGGGTGGAGAGACATCTCCCTTGGCCGAATGGTGAATGCTTGTTCATCTTGGCGCCAATTTCCTCTCCTTGGCCGAATAGTCATGTGCCTTATCATATTTGGCGCCAAAGCTTCCATGTGCAAGGCATGTGGTGTGACCGAATAGGCATGGAGCTCTATCTCATGTCTCTTGGTGATTTAAGCTTCCAATGCTAGCAATTCCTTCACCAACGTGCTCCTAGATGAAAAGGCATCTTCATGGGCAGCATCATTCATGAAAGGTCACAATGTTTGAGAAAGGTGTCCCTTCATGTTTGAGCTGCTTATGGTGTGAATGAGCTAAAGGTGAGCTGGCCATAAATGACTTGTGACATGGTGAACGTTTGGGCAGCTCCTTGTGAAAAGGTACCTCTTGAGGTGGCAACTATTCGCGAAAAGGTACGATTTCACAAATTTTGACTTAGGACATATTTGAAGTGTCCTAAGTGGTGATGATGATGGTGCAACCCCCCAGCTGAAATAAGGTCATCTTGTAGCTCAAATCTTCAGCTTAATCTAGCTATGAGCTCACGGCCTCCGGACAACTTTTCACCAATTGTTCCTTGTGCTCTCCTATTCGATCCCATGTAAGTTTCCTTTCTGTTACATGCTCCATTTAGCTCCAATGCAGCTCCCAAGTGTTGGCCGAATGTGCCTACATGCATAACATAAAGAAATAAACTAAGTATATAAACTTATATAATGTGCATATTATAAGATTCTGACTATAGTATATGATAATAACTTGTATCTCATATATAAATGGATAACTTATTATCATAATAACTATAGGTATAATATATATATATGAAAATAAGTATCTTATAACATATGAAATAAGCATCTATAGGTATAAAGATAGAAAGTTTCTTCCCTGGAGAGGTTGGAATAGCCATGGTAAATATGATGTTGAATTGGATCACATCATCCTCCCCTTCTTTTAATCGATTTGTCCTCAAATCGAATGATCGTCTTTTCCTAGTGTCCTTCCATTCAATCTTTATAAAAAGGTTCATATCCGTTGAAAGACTGCTTTGGAAGTTCTTAACCTGAAAAGAAAGAAAACTTTCATTAGTAAAAATGTGATCAAACATAACTAAAGTTAAGAAATACTTCCTGTAAATTGTATGCTCAAAGTTCATATCTATTGAAGTCATTTTGCTTTGAACGTTTGCGCCCTTTTGCATTCCAAAAATCATGTCCCTTTGTCCTTCAATAGATGTTTGCATTGATTCGTGAAAGATGATGACTCTTGGAATGGTGATGTTCTCATAAGTCACGCCCCTTGGATGAAAAATCGCTTCCCTTTGATTTTCATTAGGCATAACTCTTGATTCTTGAAGGATCACTTACTTTGGATGAAGAATTACCACTCTTTGCTTTTCAAAAATCGCACCTTTTGGCTCTTGAATGGTCACGTCCTTTAATTTCCCAAATCGATGGATTGTGTCACTTGGATCATCCTGCAAATCAAAGGAAATTCCTGCATTGTCAAAGTTAGAAAAATCTTCATTGACCTTGTTCCTCGTCAGTAAACATCTTTGTAACAAGCACTTAGATGTATAAGCACTTGTTTTTGGAATGTTTTCTTCCTGGATTAACTTCGATTTTCCTTTCCTCATGGCATCAACACTTTGTTTCATCTTGATTTGCTCAACTTGGACTTGTTTAGGCGTCAAGGATGTTAGGATGATCTTCTTTCCTCCATGGTTGAATGAATATTGATTGGTAAAACAATCATGACTGGTCCTCCTATCATATTGCCATGGTCTTCCAAGGAGTAAATGGCTAGCATGCATAGGAACAACATCGCACATAACCTCGTCCTTGTACTTACCAATTGAAAAAGGGACCATCACCTGTTTGTTGACATTAAGTTCACCTCGTTCATTGAGCCATTGTAGTTTGTAGGGATTTGGATGTTTCAACGTTTGCAATCCCAATTTCTCCACCATGATGGTATTGGCAACATTAGTACAACTCCCTCCGTCTATAATTATGAAACACACTTTTTCATTCACATGGCAGCGGGTATGAAAGATGTTTTCCCGTTGTGCATCGTCTTCTACTAGTTGAGCACTTAGACTTCTCTTGACCACTAGGGCTTCACCTTCCACAGGAGCACCAATTTCGGCTTCTTCCTCCACTTCTGTTGGTGGTGCTTCTTCATGGTCAGATTCAATCTCACCATTTCCAAGTAATAACATGGTGTTTCTATTGGGACATTGTGTGGATATATGCCCCTTCCCAAGACATTTAAAACAACGGATGTCTCTTTTTCGTTTAGGGATCTCTTTTCCTGGATTCTCCTTACCAAGTTGGGATGCATTTGATGATTCGGCTTTTTCCTTAATAGGAGTAGGAGTAGACTTCTTCAAATTGTTAGGACTCCATCTCGAAGGCATGGTAGTGCGAGATATAGATCTCCTTCGTAATTTCCTCTCTATTTTCATAACCATTTGCACCATTTCATCAAGTTCGATATAATGATACAATTCTAGTGTGTTGGCAATCTCAGGATTGAGTCTAGCAAGAAATCTAGCCATGGTTGCTTCACGATCCTCCTCAATATTGACTCGGATCATTGCCACTTCCATTTCTTTATAATAATCCTCCACACTCCGTTGGCCTTGTTTCAAATTCTGCAATTTCTGAAACATGTCTCGGTGATAATGAGTAGGAATGAAACGTTTACGCATGATACCTTTCATTTCGAGCCATGTTGAAATTGGTCTCTCTCCATTCCTTCTTCGAGTAATAGTAAGTTGATCCCACCATATCAAAGCATAATCAACAAACTCCATGGCTGCCAATCTTACTTTCTTGAGTTCGGAATAGTTATGGTAACTAAACACATGTTCCACTTTGCTTTCCCATTCAAGATAGGCTTCTGGATCAGTCTTTCCTTGGAATTGAGGAATTTTGATTTTGATGTTGCTCATATTATCATCAACTTTGGCACGCCTAGGTCCTTGTATCAATGCTGGTTCTTCTTCATCATAAAAATTTGAGACATCATCTTCTGGAAGAGGTTGTTGCCTCCGAGGAGTATTATTGTTTCTAATTTGTGGTTGATCTTGTCTTTGGTCTAGTTTCTCATGGAGAGCATCAAATTCTGTTCGAAACATTCTCATCATTTCTCCAATCAGTGCTTGCATTTGCAAATTGGGTTGACTTGCATTTCCTTTAGGACTTTGAGACATGGTTAGTAAATAAAACAAAAATAAATCTTACCAGCACACTCACAAAGTCTCACAATTTCACTCCAAAGAAAAGATAAGATCACTCCACTCAACACTCGTGTTTACTCTCGAGAATATATATTTGGCTTTTAACAATTCCCCTTCTGATCTCACTCTCTCAATAGCCTTTTTCCACTCAATTTCTCTTGCTAAGTCCTTTGAGAAAATTACTCAAGATTATAACAAGTTAATTCCTTCCTTGTGTGTGTCGGCTGCAAATAGGTTAGGGTAGAAAGAATAGAAGAAATGGAAAGGTAGAAGAAAAGTTTTAAGGTATTAAAAGAAAGAAATGGTTGAAGACAAGGAAAATGAAATTATGGAAAAGAAAGAGGTGACTTACAATTCAAGAAACAACACTTACTGTAACCTTTCTCAAGAAACAAGGTTATCTTCTCTTAGTGTAGATAGCCTCTTTGATGTACTTGCAAAGGTAGAGCACTTTTCCTTGGCTTGCTTTCTCTTTTGAATTTCTTTTCTTTTATTTTTTTTTATTTTTCTCTTCTTTTGTCTTTTTCTTTCTTTTTGCACTCTAATTTTGATGTAGGAGTCGTTTTCTTTTGCTTTGCACGCCAATGACACTTTTGTTGTCAATCCAACCTATGTTCTGATACCACTTGATGTAAGGCGAATCTACACGCTTTGATGGAAGAGAGTAGATAGCCTTATTGTGTCCCGATCTAGGATTGACAAGTACTGATGTCCTTGAATTTATAAGTTTGGGCTGCAAAATAAGATAAGAAAAGAATGATTAATAATAGAATTAATAAAGGGGATAATAATATAAGTAATGAAAATAAATAATAAGAATGAAATGAAATGAAATAAAGAAAGGATAGAGATGGCTGCGGAATTGATGGAAGAGATGGATGATGGTGATGATGAAATGGCAATGGTGGTGATGTTGTATCTCAAACACGCCAAAGAGGAAACTATGCCATGAAGCACAATCCCGGTCTTCACAAACTTGCTTGAGGGGTGGTGATAGTGTCTTCAACCCACTAGATATCAATCTAGGAATTTTGGAATCAAAATGGAAGGAATGACGCCACAAGTATAGG